GCTGGGGAGATCCTGATTGAATCTTCCCGGACGGACGAGCGAGCCGACACCGCGCGATGTCGAGATACGCAGTACAGGGGCACCCGAATCACGCGACGACTGTTGGATTGGTTTGCAAACCGCGGTGCCGGTGGATAGACAGGACGCCCGCGTCTTGAATCGTTCTTGAGTGCTGATCGATGTCGAAGCCTCGACCCATCGTCCGAGGTACACTTCTCGGACGGTTCTGAAATTGCTCTTCATGTCGCGCACTGGCCCGACCAATCCACGCTGAATACGAAACACGGCTAGTCTCTCGCTGGCCATGGAAGTCTTCTGTGCTTCGCTTGTGGCGGTTAGGAGGCGAAAACTGTTAGCAGCGTAGTCTTGGTCTGATCTTCATGACACTTTGTAGGCGTACCTTTGGAGATGGAGGCCAACTGCTGCCTCTGCAGGTATCTGTACCACTCTCATCTATCCTGCCATGGCCCCTGGCAGTAATAGCAGCTCCCTGTCTGCCTCTTGTGCGTAGCGGCATGCAAGTGAAGCCAGGTTCGAAGTCGCTTGTCTTGATCCTTCGCGTCGCTACCCCACACTCACCGCCGAAACGGCGGTGCTAGTCGAGCACTGCACCCTTTCTGGCTTGACAAGTCGGCAGGAGCATTGGCTGCGGGCGCGCGTTAGGCGGAGACCGCTTCGCATTGATGGATGCGGGAGGCGGCGGCTCGGTCGACGTCTCCCATCGCAGGGAATCTGCAGACCGTACGGCACATCGGAGGGTTCAATGACTTGCGGTCCCGCGTGGGCCAAGAAACTGACACCCGGACGGTCGCTCAAAGGCACAATCAAGATCCATATGGCTTAGATAACATGGCCGGGGGAGCGTTGTGAAGACAGAGGCAATTTGGGGAGGGCGTGATTGTAGAAGAGGAGTCGACAAGGAGGGCGTCGATACAGTGGCCACTAGATGGGGGTCAGAAGTATACTGTGCGCCTACAGTTCTTTGACGGTATACGCACATGCCCGGCACAATCTGCGCCTGTCTCGCTTCCTGCTCTCTTCGCTAGCGCTAACTGCAGGCAGATTAAGCGCGGCTCTGCGATAGGCTGGACCCTCACCACCCCATATTCAATGTTTGGACACGCACCTAAGCGCAGCGCTTAGTCGGCATCACGACCAGACAGAGTAAACAAACCCGACGACGCTTCACGGCGACGACGACATCGCGACCACAACTTGATATCAAGCAACGCGAGAGCGACAGAGTACTGCTACTTCTTCATTGGCAGCCCACGTCGCCAACACCCAAACATCTGCAATGAGGCGGGCCTGGAATCCTTCTGCTTGAGAACGCCGTTTGTGCATGCCTGCAACCATGGCCCTGACGATGAACCCGCCCTCGAGGTGGTCCAACAAGAGACAAAAGGTGTTCAAGTCTGTCTTTGACACCGAAATCTCGCAGCCTACGCCTTATTCGACACCCTCGAAGAGGTTCACCGCGCAAAGCGAGCCATTCGGTGGCACACCGCAGTCACCACAGCCACCACACCACCAGTCTCCCTCCCGCTCGCACTTTCGTGGCGGCAGCAAGGTCCTGAACCACCCAGGATCCCCTCCGTCAACATTTCCAGGCACTCAGTCTACCTCTGAGGCCAGTGACCAAGTTCGCTGGGATCGAGCGTGGCACGTCGTCACGACCCGTATCCAGTTGCCTGCCTCGGTTGCCGCGGAAGACTCCTTCGGGACCCTGGCGACGGAATCGCAGGACCATGATGCCGAGTTCCATGACAGTCTGAGCCTGGTACTGCATCCCGAGAGACACGTCCAGCATGCCACTCACACGGAGGACATTCTCTCCTGGCACACCCAGCAGGTTCGCCACCACTTCGCCCATCACGTCCTGCCCCTGCTGTCTGCATGCAACAGCTACGGAGACCAGGGCCAGGTTCTTCTGGGGAGCATCCATACGCTAGAGGCAGCCCACCGCCAGTATCTCTACGGCCTGTCCCTCGTCGTGCGGGGTCTCGAGTCCAGGAAGGCGGACATCGCGGTCGACAAGTTCCGGCGCGATTTGCACGCAGTCATCGGCAACTCCATGTCACAGGCGCTTATGGAATCCCTCCGTGCGGTCCTGGGTCGCTTGATGAGGGAGGTTCTGGGCATGCAGGCCCGGCCTTCCTCTGGGAGATCTTGGGAGACGGCCCTGCAAGGGGATGGCCAGGCAGCAGCAGCGGCGGAAGCAGCGCGGCAAGAGCTGCTGCAGATGGTCGAGACACTCCACAAGGTCGGGCTTGCGGGCGAGCGATTCCAAGTGCTGTTTGCCGAGTTGATGGATGCAACAATGGCCGAGCACATCAAGACATCCTTCGCCGGGGCTTGGGCGCAATCAAAGGCAGATGGCAGGAAGGATGCGCCGTGGTCTTCGCTGACCTCTCGCGCAGCAAAGCTCAGCACGCCTTCACGCTGCATTGCTGCACTCAGTGATTGGGTGGAAAACCGCTACTCCCGGTTGGCGGTCGAGGTGTTTGCGCGCCTCGATAGCGGGGAGATTGCCTGGGGCGATGTCGAAAAGTGGAAGGAGATTGCAGTCGGGAGATTGGCAGTCATGCGCATCCACGAGCTTTTCGACATTGTGTTGCAATGGCCAGAGAGCAGGGGGGCGCTGGACGACCTGCGCATGGCCATCACCACGCCGCAGAGACGGCTGCAGTTGACGGATACGTTTTCGGCAGCGTTGCAGAAGCGTTTGCTTCACCCGGGACGGTCAACGCTCGATATACTTCGCGTGTACATCTCCATGATTCGGACCTTTCACGCTCTCGACCACTCCAAAGTACTCCTGGACCGAGTGGTCCACTCCCTTCAGCTCTACTTGTGCCAGAGAGACGACGCCATCCCCATCGTCGTCACCGGCCTGCTGTCCAGTCCGGAAGATGTCGACACGGCCGGCAAGAACAAACTCGTAGAGCTCGCGGTTCTCCTCAACGACCCCTCACAGCAGCGGCGTCCGGCGACGGATGACGAGGAGCTGGACTGGGACGACATGGAGTGGATCCCCGATCCGGTCGATGCGGGCGTGAACTACAAGCGTCCCAAGTCCGAAGATGTCATTGGCACTCTCATCAACGCCTTGGGCTCGCAGGACATCTTCATCAAGGAGTTCCAGAACATTATTGCAGGCAGACTGCTGTCTACTCAAACAGACTTTCCCCAAGAGATCAGGGTGCTTAACCTGCTCAAGAAGCGCTTCGGCGAGAACGCTCTGCAGAACTGCGACGTCATGATCAGAGATATCCAAGACTCTAGGAGAGTCGATGCGACCATCACCAAGAACGTCAGGACGGGCCACATCGGTGGTCCTCCTCGCCGATCCAAGGACCTTCCCTCGTACCACACCAAGATTCTTTCCCGGCTCTTTTGGCCCGGTATGGACAGGGAGCACTTTATCCTGCCACGCCCCGTCGTCGAAATGCAGGGCCGCTACGATGAGGAGTTTGAACGTCTCAAGTCGTCACGCAAGCTCACGTGGCTCAACAATCTCGGCATCGCGACGGTCAACCTGGAGCTGGAAGACCGCACGGTCGAGCAGGAGTGCAAGACGTACGAAGCCGTCGTCATCTACGCATTCCAAGAGGACGACGCCGACCCGGGAGCTGCCCCTGTGCGGCGTACGGTTGAACAGCTGGAGGAGATGCTGCAGATGGACGACGATCTCATCCGCTCTGCTATACACTTTTGGGTGAGCCACCGCGTCTTGCGTGAAACCGAACCCGGCACGTTCGTCGTCCTCGAGAAGCTCGAAGACGATGTGGACAGGGACGCGTCCGCCGCCGGGCCTTCCGACGGCGACGCGCGCGCCCCTCCGTCTGGCGACTTTTCACCCAAGAAGCCGGCGCTCGACGCAAAGGAGAAGGAGAAGCGGCAGGTTTACTGGCAGTTCATCGTCGGCATGCTCACCAACTCGAGCCCGGCGATGCCGCTTTTTCAGATTGCCATGATGATGAAGATGCTCATTGCGGACGGGTTTCCCTGGAGCAACGAGGAGCTGCAGGAGTTTCTCGGCGAGAAGATTGCCGAGGGGGAGCTGGAGCTGGCGGGCGGAAAGTACAAGCTCCCGAAGAAGTGAACATGGGTGAGAGACTGCTCTCACGACGGTGGTTCTTTCCATGCATAGAGGAAGTTGCACATTTGCAAGATAGCCAGCCACAAATAGACAATAAACATGATACCCAAGCACAAGACTGACGCGTACTGCGACGAGCAGTGTGTCTGTGAGGACCGTCTGTCCAAACTCGGTGACGGCCAATCCGGTACAAGGGGTGACTTTTCCAATTCCATCGACGTATGTAGGCATGCTATTAGTGTACGCGCACCATCACCATGTGACGGCGTACTGGTCCAAAGAGATTTGACTGCGCATTCTGACGATGACGCCATGGAGATTATAGAACACATCTTGGGAGATACTTGATGTAGATAAGAACACAGCACTCTGCATGATTTTTCCAGGTCTCGGGAACACGCAAAGCCACTCGCCGGCGGTGTACAGGACGCCAGAGTTTGATCAGGTTTGGTGAATGTTACATGAATCTTGCTGGTCTATCCCACCTACATACGTTGGCTCACGCCAGGCAACGCAGGCCTTTGCCGGTAGTGCCAGACGACCACCAGAGGCACCGTGGCACGGCGGGCATAGCCCTTGGGTGCTTCCGCGGTTTGATGCTTCATCACCCTTTGGTAATGTCTTCTCGCCCGCGTCTTGCCGGCCGGCACGCGGGCCCAAACACGGCCCAAAGTGTATAACTGGCTGCCTACACCGCAGCCTTCATCGTCCCCGAAGGGACCACAGTGCCCCGACGTTGCCCTATGCCGACGCGCCATCACACCGGATCACACGGCCTGCGTGCTCTTCACCTAGCTCGACCGTCGTCTACGCCGCAATCAGATTCAGGGGTATAACTCTGAATGCACAGAACCGAAAAGTCTAAAATGCGCGCGCGCGTTCGTTCCCAGGGTCTCGTCTAGACCCTCTTGCCCTGCTTCAACAGGTCGCCCACCTTGGGCGGCAGCACCAGCGCGCTCCTGTCGTTCCGTCTGTAAAAGTCCACCACCGCCAGCGCCGTCTTCTCCGGCAGGTCTTCGTGGATGAAGTGGCCCGCTTCAGGGAAGACCTGCAGAGCGTATTTTCCTAGTCCATGTCAGCTTAGCCGATGGTAACGATCCGACGGGACGAACGTACCCTGCATCTGGCCGATGGTCAGCTCCGTGTCCAGCCTATCCGTCCCCGCCAGCAGCAACAGCTTCCCGCCCCGTGCCTCGAGGAACTTCTTGCTCAGGCCCACGAACCAGCCCTCCCAGAACGGCTGCGTCGCCGCGAGGTCTGTCCGCCACCGCCACGGCCGCGTCGGGTCGGCGCGGTCGTCGAACACCAGCAGCGCCGGCACCGACGTGCGCGCCGAGACGGAGTTGCGGATCGTGCGCGAGCGGATGTGCCAGTCGACGCCCGACTGCAGGCTCACGAAGCCGCCGGGCCGCGTCGAGAGGTACGTCAGCATGCTCTGCAGGGCGTCCATGGCGGAGCCCTCGACGACGTCGAGCACGCCGTAGCCCAGCAGCGCGGCGCCGAGGCGGCCCGTCTTGGCGAGGTCCGTGACGACGGCGCCGCCGAGGGAGTGCCCGATCAGGACGACGGGCGGGAGCTCCTTCCAGCCCATGCGGGCCTTGGTCAGCTGGATGACGTTGAACAGATCCGCGGTCAGGATGTCGAGCTTGAGGTCCAGGCCGGTGCCGTCGGTGACGGAGGTGGAACCGTGGCCCCGGGCGTCGGGGGAGAGGATGCCGGCTGTGGGGAGGCGTTTCCGGATTTCGGACGACAGGGCGGCGAAGGAGAGGCCCGAGGAGCCGGCGCCGTGGTGCATGACGAACAGCGGGCCCTTGTCCACGGGCGAGTTGAGGTAGGCATGGTACGTGACGGTGGCCTCGGCCTCGGCCTCACCGTCCCCGGGCTGCTTGAGGAAGAGCTCGCGCTCAAAGTACGTCGTCCAGGGGATCTGCTCCAGCGTGCGGCCCCGCGACACACTAGAAGCCGAATCAGCGGTGCCGAACCTCTCCCTCGCAGCGGCGGCGCCCCTCGGAGACGACTGGAAAAAAGAATCCTTACCCTTGCGGCCGAGCGAACAGGTTCTGGCTGGGCGACGGGATGACGGTGCCCGTGGAGGAGGCGGACGAGGCGGACGAGGCCGAGGAGGAGTCGCCGTCGTCGGGGTGGTCCGGCAGCTCGGGGACCTGGTCGTGCTCTGGTTCCTCGTCGAGGTCGTTGAGAGGCTCCGGCAGGGGGTGCATGGGGTCGAGTTTCCTCTTCGCCCAGGCCTTTTGTAACTCACTCATGTTGGGGGTCGAGCTGCCAAGGAGCGCTTAGTCCATGCGATAAAGCGGCCGAGGTGCTTGTTTTGTCGCCGCGTGGTTGGAGAAGTGACCGGGGCGGGCCTGCACCACGAAAGGAATTCGGTTGTCTTGGAGTTGTGTGAGCCTGAGCCCGGCAGACGACGGAGGATATCGCAGAGCAGAACCGGTGCCGGCAGGGAGTTGGCAGGTGATGGGTTGGTTGACCGCGATGTGAGGCCGGGTTTGGAGCGCCGTTTGGTGTGTGGATGACGTTCAGTGGGGTGATGAGGGGCAGCGACGCCGTTGGCACTGTACGCAACCACTGCGACTGGCGGCATGTCACTGTGCGAAGACGTCCATGGAAGTCTCCGTTATTTACTGTGCACCTGGACCCTCGGAAAGAGCAAAGCCCCTGGAACGGAGCCCGCCCTTTCCACTCGACATCAACCATCTGGTTGAGGTAGGTAGAAATCGCCCATCGACATTTGAACAACACGTTCTGGAAATCTGCCTCCGTTGAAGTTCAACTGCCGGTGACGAGAGCAGCTTTGCCTGCGTTATGAGGGCTCTAAAATGATCTGCAATGGGAGGCCAATGCGAACAGAGTGTGCAACGTGGGACATGAGGCTCAGGGCGCAACAACGACATAAAGACTGCTGCTACTGACGACCACCTAATTAAGGAGGCCAGGACAAGTCTGCTCTGTGCTTAACGACCTAAACACCGCAGCACCCAACCATGTCCAGAGGTGCCTGCCCCCCATGCAACGCAAGTCCATCGACTCGGCATCCAACAACCTCCATCGCAATCAAACACATCCAGCTAAGCTCGCACGCTCGGCAGGCGTGTGGGCCAGACCCAACGATGAACACAGGCATCTTCGCCAGGCTCACCTGCAAAGCAAATCTCAAATCTCGCCCGCCCGTTGATCCCCAACCCCCGAGAGACGCGTCAACGCAAGTCATGATGGACCACCACGACTAGCCAAGCCGGCAAGAAAAGGGCCAAGAGTCGCGCGCGCGGGTCCGTCCCCTCCCTCCCCCCTTGACCGACGATCTCCCAGGTACCTACCGCGACGATCATCACCGTTGCAGAACAAGGCCATTCTCAGTATTAATTTTCGGCGGTCAATTCATTGTAGCTACTGTATATATACTGATCGAAGCCCACCGCGAGAAGGAAAAGCGGCGGGGGTAGGTTTGGCGGGGAGGAAAAAAAAAAAAAAAAGGTATCTAAAACACCCTCCTCCCATTTTTCGCTGCCATGTCTTTACCAAAAGACCCCTAGAAGAAAAACCTTGCGGTCAAAAGTACTAAACAGAATTGTCCATTTTGGTTATGGTAGACTCTTCTTGTAGTGTACATGGAGAGCGGCTGCACTGCCCTTCCCACCCTCCCCTGTTCGAAAGAAAGATACATAGGAGAGTTTAAAAAACACTACAGCCGTCGACATCATGACCATGCGCAGAGGTATGTTGGTATGGAGGAATGAGAGACTAGGCAAGGAAATTTGGTTGATAATATAAATAAAAAATAAGGAAAAAGAGATATAAAGTGGCTCTTTCTGGATATGGCCTTGGTATCGGATACATATCCATTGGGTTCATACATTCCACACTTTTGGGGTAGGGTTTTCTATGTTCATTGTTCATTCACAAGGGCCGGCAACGCGCCAGCTAGTGGCAGCGGCCCCCCTTTCTTTCCCGTTCAGCACCGTTTAGTGATACACTCCGCGGTAGCCACCGCCTCCTCCGTATCCGCCTTGGTAGCCAGGCCCGCCGCCGACGTTGGGCAGCGTGGGGTTCCTGTCGGCGATGGGTGCCGCGCCGAGAACAAGGTTGTCCCTGCTCTCGTTAGGGTTGTTGTAAGGCGTGTTGGGCGTCAGGGGGTGGTACGGGGCGTGGCCGGCGGCGCCGAGGTAGGCGTCGGGCGACTCGGGGCGGCCGCCCTTCTTCTCGGGGACGCTGCTCATGGAGAAGGTGGTGCCGTGCTCGGGGTCCTTGCGGTCCATGAGGAGGGAGTTGCGGGCGTCGAGCGGCGTGAGGGTGTCAAGGTCACGCTGCATCTTCTCTGTAGGGGAGTTAGTAGTGTACTTTTGATGATGCGCATGATCAGACTTACCCATCTCCTTTCTGCGCTTGCGGTGGGGGTTCTCCTTGATGCAGGCGTTGACGGCGTTCCAGATGATGAGGAGAGCCAGGACGCCGGTGAGGGCGGACTGGACAGCGATGAGAACGACACCGGTGACGGTCTGGGTGGTCTGGGCGATGCCAAACTCCTCGACGAAGACGAGGATGCAGGCGACGGACAGGACACGGACGACCTGGATGGCGATGTTGATGACGTTGCCCGACTTGCGCTCAAAGGGGCGGGCCCAGAGCAGGAGGATGAGCATCAGGCCCTCGACGATGAGCTGGGCAGAGGTCTGCGCCATGCCGTGGCCGTCGCCGGCGGCGAGGATGGTGCCCTTGGCGAACGCGTAGATGATGACGGGGACAAAGATCCACCAGTAGCTCTTCTTGTAGGACTCGTAGAAGAGGGAGTACTTCATCCAGTTGGACTTGTCGTTGTACAGGCCGCTGACGTCACCCTCGGCGTTCTTCAGCTTGCGAGCAGTGCTCCAGATCTTGTAGGAGAAGAAGGCGAGGATGGCCGTGAAGATGCCCAGACTGACACCGGCCAACGCCTTGGCCGCCCACGAGTCGCCGTTGGTGAACTGGAAGATGCAGTACAGGACCCAGATGCCGTAGAGCAGGAGAATGAGCTGGGTGATGGTGCGGGCGATGGATCCCCAGTAGTGCTCGCGGAAACCGGCCAGACCCTTGGGGAAGCTGCCGAAGAGGGCCCAGAACTCGAGGATGACCTTGACGAGGAGAATGCCGACGATGATGGCGGCGATGATGATGGCGACGATGAGGAGGACGGTCATGAAAGTGTTGGACTTGGGGACACTGAGGGTGTTGACAAAGGCAGTGATGCCCTGGACCTTCTGCTTGATGGTGCTGACGGGGTCGTCGCCGGCGTCGCCGCTGGTCGTTCCGTTGACGCTCGTCTCAATGTCTCTGGCGAGGAGGGCAAAGGTCTCCATGGCACGCTTGGCCTTGAAGAGGGTGCTGTTACCGTCAATGGTAGAGCCGTCGCTGAGGACGAGGGTGCTGTTCTTGAGGACTTCGATGCTGTCCTTGGTGAGGTCGCCGCCGGTGGCTCCGCGGAAGTTGTCAATCGCGATCTGCATGTCGGTCCAGGGGATGATGCCGGTGGAGAAGCCAAAGTTCTTGGTGAAGCTGCGGTAGACGGGAGGGTAGTTGACGGAGAGCATGCCGTTCATGGCCATGCCCTGGAACCAGCCAGCAACCTCGGTGAAACTGGGGCTCATGGTGCCGGCGCCGCCGTGGCCGCTGAGTGCGGCGCTCGTTCCGGCGAAGGCACCGCTGACGGCAGAGACGCCGCCGGCAACGAGAGCGAGGGCGGCAACGCCGGCGGCGACGTACGAAACGGCGGCAACGCTGGCGGTCTTGCCGTTGGTGACCTGGGACGTGATGCAGGCAACCTGGGTTGAGGAGTCGAGCGTGTTGAGCTGCAGCTTGGCCTGGGCAGCAATGTCGGGAACCTGGAAGGCGATGGCCGGGACCATGCTGGCATACTCATCGGGGATCTTCTGGGTTCCGCGAGCAGAGAAGGATCCGGCGGGAACTGTGGCATGTCAGTTTACGCGTTTCTTAGGATCGCGCGAAAATTAGCACATACCAGGGCAAAGCTGCTCGACGTAGGTGCCGGCATCGCACGGGTTGAAGCTGTTGGAGTAGATGGCGGTTCCGTAGGCGGTAACATCCAACACAGCGGTTACGTTCTGGCTCTTGGCGCTCGTTCCTGCCACGTCAAAAGTGACAGTCTTGTCGTCGTTGTTGTACTGAATGTCAATCTTCTGCACGGTGATGGCGGAGTCGTTGCCGCAGGTGGTGAAGCTGCTGGTCTTGAGGATCGAGTCGGCGAGGGTGCTGGTGGCGAAGGTGGCGGCCACGGCCAACAGCCTCCTCGGGCCCCAACTCGGCGCGGATCGCGTCATTTTGTGATTTTGAGTAAATAAAAAGGGGGTTTCGGTAAACGTTCGTGGTTCGTCGTCGTTTGTTTCTGTTTCGGGAATCGATGATTCTTCCCCAAGCCGCAGATGGGTATATCCAAAAAGAGTCTATGCGTTCTGAGCCTTTACAAGCTTCTTTCTTTCCCAAGTCACTCCCAACAATAAGTCTTTGCCGTCCCTTTCCACAAATTTGATACGCTTTGATACAGAATTGAGTGAGAGAGATGGATGCCGTGTGTTGTCGTCGGGTCCTCTGGTGTCGAAGCTGGGTGATTGCTATCGAAGTCGTCGTCGTCGCGTCGGTGGGTGGGTATATGGGCGAGTCGTGAGACCAAAGGAAACCAGGTTGTAGAGTACGAGAGATGATTGGAAAGAAGGTTGTAAGAGGTAACCGAGAAGCAAGCACAGCTCTACAGAAAAGGACGAGAGAGAGAAAAGTAAGGCGGCCGAGGATCAACCTGGAAAGAAGGGAAAATCGGGCGGGCAGCGAAGTGCCTTTGCAGGGCCCTTGTCGTGTTGCTGTTGCGAGCCTGAGAGAGGCCTCGTGCTCGTCGTCGAGAGAGCTGGATCGACGGGACAAGATCGAGAACCTATGTTTGGTGAGGCGATGATGGAGTTGTTAAGGCGCGTGTTTGTGTGTTGAGTGAGAGAGAGAGTGTGTGTGTGTGTCTGCCGGATACAGCCAGAGAGAAGGAGAGACAGTGGCTGGGCGAGAAAAGAGGCTAAAGTCCACGGGCGGGTATATGAAACGAGCGAAAGGTGACGATGCTGAGAAAGGCACGCCGGTCAGGAGGTGGTGGTGGAGAGTGTGGTGTGGAAGGAGAGAGAGGAGGGAGGGAGGATGGATGGGTGGTTCAGATCCAAGAGGGACGAGAAGGACGGAGAGGGAAAAGGACGAACACGAACTGGGCAAGAAGGGGAAGCGATTGGCGATCGATGGTTGGCGGGAGACGGGGACCCAAGCCTGGAAGCGACCTCAGCGTCGTCTGTTCTCATCCACAGGCCCATGGTGAAATGGGACATGGTGGACAAGGACCCTGGACTGGACTGGACCAGAAGTCCTCTCGCCGCTCTCGAGCTGTGTCTGCGAAGCACTCGCTCAGCAGCAGAGACAGACAGACGCAAAGCAAAGGCAGGTCGTCGTGTTCGTCCACACCCCCGTCCATACCCCGGCCGCCTCCACTGGGCGCAAGTTCGATTGGAGCCTCGTCCCTGACATGTTCCTTGCTCACGGAGTCCTCTCAGCCAGCCGAAGGCCTGCAAAGGTGTCGCTGCCCCTGTCGGGCCTCATATGGCCAGTAATAACCCAAGGATTGGGACGGCCCACGCGCGACCCGGCGCTGACGAACTGGTCTTTCGGTCTCAAGGTTGGGCTTTCAGGTACCGTGGGCAGGCGCTCATCTCCCGCTGTGCTGTGCTGTGCTGTGCAGTCTGGAGAGTCTTCTCAGCGTCAACTGCCATGGCCGGGCACGGCACCGGCGTCAGCCATGGCGTGGTGCGGCGTGCTTGTCGCCCGCCGTCCCGTCTGATGGCGCGCCTTCGTGCTGTTAGCTGGGCCGGTCGAGCGAGTCCTGCGTGCAGTTGGGACGAAGCTACTGCAGGGAAGAGGGAGGAACACAGTAGCGTATCAGACGGACCGACGGGCTTGGTGTGGCTTGCTACCGCGCAGTACATGGCAGAGGCAAACGGCACAAGCAACGAGCCCCTGGATGGCATCTGTCTAGACTCGTGGTGGTGTCGTGTGTTCGGCCAGTCTGGACTGGTCCGTCGCCGCTGCGAGTCCTTGCTGGTGAGGAAACAAGAGATTGGGGGCCCGGGATTGCAGCAGGGAACAAATTGCTTCCAGCAGGCGACGGGCGGAAGTACCTCTGCACGATGCGTGTGCGGCACGAGTACCTGGCAATCCAATCTGCTCACTACAACCTGCCACCAAATTACCACCGTTTGGTGTCCGGCATCCAGCGACGGGTAGCAGGCATCAATCAACACTGGGCACTGAACGATGCAATAACGGATGAACTTGACATGCAGAGAGAGAAAAAATGCGTAGCCGTCCATTCTTTCTTGTGGAGCTGAGACATAATTCTCATCCGCCAGACATGATTCAAAACGAACCGCTACCCAACCTCCGGTGTCTCTCTTCCCTCGGGCGCTTGACCAGTCGCCCAGCGGCATGTGCTGTCCATACGCAGTAACAGACGCTGCAAAATCCAGTAGGTGTGAACAGTCAGGGGCCTTGAGGAAACAGCACCGTTCACAACTCTCACTCGCCCCCCGAGGTGCAACTTGCAAGCGCCCCTGCATTGGTCAGGGGTCTCGGAGGGGGCTTGGCCAGGAGATCGACAGGGGAGTGCTTTTTTGATTTTCCCTTCTTCTTTTTCGCGCCTTTCCTTTCCTACCGTAGTGGGTGGTGGGTGGCTAAACCGGTCTCGAATGCCTCGACGGGGCTTTTGTTGATTGGGCTCATTGGCTGACGCCGTTCGATCTCTCTTACCCAAGTACCTCTTACTCCGTGGCATATGTGTACTTGAACGCTTTCTTAGCGACGAGCAAACGGCAGAGCGTCTCGCGCGTGGGCAGAGAACATGAACAAGAACCAGACTCGAAGGAAGGGCCCCGCGGGCAGGCGAGGGCGGGGGTAAAGCGGCCGGCGCCACGCCCAGAGCAGGGAATCCCGAACCAGACCGGTCCCGGACCCCGGTCCTGTCTGAAACTGCGCCATCATCAATCATCACGGAGGAGGAGTAGCAGGAACAGGAACACTCTGGAGCAAGCAAATTCTTCGCTGAGGAGACGAAAAGACGCCATCCATCATCAGCCGACGACGACGAATGCCAGCGGGAGCTCGAACATGTTTCTCGCTTCCCGGGCCTCGGCGGGGGCTTGAAGAAATTCACCACCGAGACTACGGGAAATTTTCCCGCTCGATTGTCTTGGTCTTGACTCTGTCTCTCCCTCAACCAGACGCCAGAACCACTGTTTTCCCTCGAACGGGTCGATTATTGATTGATAGCTGGCTCGCTGATTGACACCCTGCAAAATTGCCTGCTATTAAAAATAAACCAGCCCTCCACGTCACAGTCCAGGCCGTCTTTATCCATCATTGCTACGACGACTTGCATGCAACCGCACGGCTGGCATTGCCAGCATAAGTCGCCAATACCACCCTCGCCATCGTCTTAACAGCAGACTTTCTAATATCCGGCGCCGTCAATGTCAACGTCAACGGCCCAACTGCCGCGCGTGTCCCACAGAGATAAGGCAAGGTGATCCCACCCTCTCGACCGTCTCTCTGTCCACGCTTCCTCTCTCTTCGCAGCACGTCCAACAATCAAGCATCGTCGGGAATTACACTGCTACCGTAATCTGTACCTACATTACCGCCGTCCCATCTCCCGTTCGCTCCCTCTTTCCCGCCCGTGCCCCCCGGGTTGCGCCTTGTTGCCCTCGCCATGCCATGCCGTCCTGTCAGTGGCGCAAACCGGGTTGTGCGAAGAAAAAGTGACGCGCCACGTCCGTTCGAGCGCTCTCGTGCGTCTGCCCGTCAAACCTGCTTGAACCCTTCGTCTAGACGGTATAGTACGGACGGTTCGACGCACAGCACGAGCACGCCGCCGCCTCACGCATGCGCCACCTCCCTTCCACCTCGGATGCGCCAGCAGATGCGCCTGTACGCAACGACTCACGCCTCAGATCCCCCCAGCTCAGACGTGCCAATCTTGTCAATCCCGTCCGATCTCTCGTCGACTTGAACCCTTTTTTAGCGTAAAGGCTGAGCTGAGCCACTCCTCGTCTTTCCCCTCAAAATCTTGAAATTCAATCCCGTCTTTCGTCACCGTCCGTCCAAAACAAGTCTGTTTCTTCCCCTTCTCCGTCGGATCCCCGTCCCTGGGACTGGGACTGGAACTCTCTGCCCATCACGAAACCTTCAACCCCGTACTTAGCGGTAAGAGACGCCCCTTCCTTCCCCAGCCCGCCGTCATCGTCTCGCCAGTCGGCAGCGTCGTGCGTGCTTCACGGTTGCCATTCCGAAGAATGTGTCTGTCTCAGTGCTCGTCCGTCATGCCACTGTCACCCTACCAAAGGGCGATCACCAGAAACAAAACGCCCGAAACCTTGGTTCAACGCCGTGTGCTCCAACCCCCTAGGTAACCTCTCATGTATGCAGAGTGCTTCTCACTGCTTCTCACTGCTGCGTAGTCATAAAACCATAGACCTTACCGTATCTACAGTTATCCCACGGGGAAACACCCAAAACTGTAAAAGAAACATCCGTCACTGGCTGCCTCCCCATCCAAACATGCATCATGCCTCCATTGCCATCCCCGTGCTCCGACCCCTCGGGACACGCTACTCACATCACGGTATCAAACATGACAGGCAGAGCACGTTAACAAGAACCCCAATATACCTCCCATTCGTTATAATCCCCCTTCGGCATTCTCTGCGCCAGAAACGCAGCCCAACAATGCCCTGATCTTCCGCTGTTCTTTTCCCTCGCCAATCTGCAAAAAAAGGCCGTGTCCCGAGAGTCTTCCGTTGCTTTTCCTAGGAATGTTCACGCCCCCCTCGGTTCCAGCGTCCAACCGGCCGGGCCGACGCTACAAGGCAAGACATGATGTCTCAGCTCGCAGCCCAACCCCAAGAAAAGCCAGCCATCACGACTCTTCTGCATCATCGAAAGCCCTCCTCGTCGTCACAAAATCCATGCCCATGAACCGCCTGTGCCTTCCCCATCAAGAAATCCAGACCGACACCCTCTAACAAGGACCTCCCACCAACACCTCTCTACCTCACGCACGCTTCCATGCAGGACACCGACAATCAGGCACCAGATCCAGAATAACCTCCGTCCCCCGTCTCCGTCCGTCTCCTCCCATCTCCTTCCCGCAACAGAGATGTGCAACAGCCCCCGCCATCTTCCGTCTTGCGTGCACAAGACAGCATCGGGGATCGTCCACCTGTGCCCGCCGCCCGCCAGCCCG